CTGCTTCCCCTCCTCGTTGTCGACCGCCGTCGGGTCCAGGCCCGCCATCCCGACAGTAACTGGGTCGTCCACATCCTTGAAGTTGACCTTGTGGAGCATCTTCGTGCGGTGCTCCAAGTCCTTCCTCGCCTCGGCCAGGGACTCGGAGGTCGCGGCGATCCCCTTGAGGATATCCTGCTTCTGCTCCTCGAAATGCAAGAGCCGCTCCTCGAGCTTCTCGACCTTCCGCGATGTCGAGCGGCCAGCGCGGACGGAGACTTGGACTCGAGCTCCTGGACCTTAGCTTCCTCGACCTTGGCGATGACGGCGGAGTCGATGCCGTGGCTCTTGAGGAAGCTGACCACCTGGGCGTAGGAGGGGCCATCGCCGCTTGCTCCAAGCGGGGGCCGAGCGCCGCCTCCAGCCCCGCCCCCGCCGCCGCTGGCGCCGCACCCTTTCGAGAGCGCCGCCAGCTGCTGCTTGAGCTCCTTGACCTCCTTGGCCAGGCGCGCCTGGTCGCCGCCGCTGGGGCCGCTGCGCCCCTGCTGGGGGCGCGCCGCCTTGGCTGCTGCAACGCGGGCGTCTTGCTGGACCCGTGCTGGCGCAGCCCCTCCGCACCCGCGACACTTGAGCCGGCTGGCCCAAGTGCCGCTCTCGCCGCACTTGCCACACCCCCAGACTGGGAACTTGGGGCCTGGCAAGACGTCACCATCAGCGCCCATGGACCTGGCGCGCACACTGGATGTTTGGCTCGTGCCCACGAGCCGCTTCGAAGTACGTGGGCAGAAGCTCGAGCTGTTCGCACAATCGGCCCGAGCCGAAACGGCCAGGAGGAGGAGGAGGAGGAGGAGGAGGAGGAAGAGGAGGAGAAGGACGAGGAAGAGGAGGAGAGGGAAAAGGAGGAGGCGGAGAGGGAGGAGGAGGAGGAGGAGGAGGACGAAAAGGAGGAGGAGGAGGAAAGGAGGAGGAGGAGGAGGAGGAGGAGGGAGAGGAGGAGGACCTTCCTCCTTCGGCTCCTCCCGCGGCTCCTCCCGCACCTCCTTGCCCTCCTCCTCCTCCTCCTCCTCCTCCTCTTCCTCCTCCTCCTCCTCCTTCTCCTCCTCCTCCTCGGGTGCCCCCCCCCTCCTCCCCGTTCCTGCGGCGCGGAGAGGGCACGCGCCCGAAGGCCAGAGGCCAGCTTCTGCATCGAGCGCCGCATTCGCCCGCGAGGCCTGGAAGCAAGTCACTCGTCGGGGATTTTCTGACCAGGGTCAGTCAGGCCTTGCAAACTCCTGCAAAATCCTGCAAGGTCCTGCACCCAAACCTGGGTCAACGCGAAGAATCCTGCACGATCCTGCAGGATCCTTCGCCCAAGCCTGGGTCAATGCAATCCTGGCCCTGCAGGATCCTGCAAAATCGGGCGCTCTGGCTGACGCCCGTTTGCATTGACTCCCGTCTCTTGAACCCTGAACTCAAGCAAGTACCGACCGTCCCGGCATTCCCATAGGCCTACCACGAAATTTTCGTAGAACCCCAAAATGTTCAAATCACAAAAACAGCGTTCTTAGAACATAAGCCCGACGTGTCAAAAAAAACAAGACAGTCTCGGTCAGGAACGTTCTTTAGAACATTCCGTGCAAACCACGAAAAAGGTTCTTAGAACACTGTTTGGTGGGCCTATAGGCAAGTCAGGACGCGTCGCCACTGCTTGAGTCACCCCGCGGCCCCTGGCGCTGGCATGGCGCCCATGGCGCTGCCACGTCCTCGAGCTCCTGCCCTTCGCGCGCGCGCGTCGCCTGCGAGGCCTGGGTGGCTGCCGCGACTGCGCGGCCGTGCCGCCAGAGGCGGCGCGCCCGACCGCCTGGACGTGCCCCTCGCCCCGGCCCCTCCAGTCCGACCACCGGACTCCGGCCGTGACGAAGAGAACAGGAGGAGGAGGACGACGAGGAGGAGGAGGACGAGGACGAGGAGGAGGAGGAGGAGGAGGAGGACGAGGAGGAGGAGTCGAGCGTGCGGAGGGGGAGGCTCCACGCTCCCGACGGCCGCGCCCCGCGCGGCGCCAGCAGCCCCCGCGCCCGCGCTTACCTGCTCACAGGTAGCGCGCCTGGAGGAGGAAGCAAAACATCTCCTCGAACGTGTTCTGGAAGCTGATCGTGATCAGCGGCTGCTCCACGGGGCCGAAGTGGATGACGTCCGTCAGCATCTCCCTCACGATGCCGATCACGTAGGTCTCGCGGAACATCTGGAGGATGAACGCGATCCGCGCCCGCAGGATGCGCTCCGTCACCCGGCGCTGGTAGCTGGCCGCGGTTGGGGGCACCTCGAACGCGTTCTGGTGGCTGATCGCGACCAGCACGAGCGCCGTCACGAAGTCGACACGGCTTGAGTCCTGCAGCATCTCCCTGAGATCCTGACGAGGCCACCTGAAAACCTGCGACTAAGCTTCGGGCAGGATCTCGCAGGGCTCGCGGAACATCTGGTGGTGGAGCGCGTTCAGCGGCTCCTGGGAGCGCTCCGCCGCCAGGTGCAGGTGGTTGTCCGTCTCCTGGAGCCGCCCCATCACGTCGACGGCGATGGTGGGGATGAAGCACGGGCGGCGGCTTCTTCATGGTCCTCGTGGCCCTCAACGCCGCCCTGGCGGCCGTCAGGGTGGCCTCCGCCGAGACGTGGGTCTCCTGCCTGAGCGCGTGGTACGCGAGGCAGGCGACCGCGATGGACTCCGCGCTCTCGTTGGACTGGTCGGCGAGGCCGAGCTTCGCGAACTCGGTGGAGAGGGGGGGCGCGCCGCACGCCCGTCCCACTGCCTGCGCCAGCGGCGCGCAGATCAGGTAGTGGCGCATCTTGTCGTGGCCGTTGGCACAGCCGAAGATGCACTGGCGCCTGCCGCTCGGATAGGCGATGCGGTAGGATGTGAGCCATGAAAAGGACAGCGTCCTCATCCACGCCGTCGCCCACGATGGGGGCAGTCTCTTCATGGCGGCCTGGATGTCGTGCATGATAGAGGGGTTGTGGATGAAGAACTCGCCGGCGTGCGGGAGCTCCTTCACGATGCGGCCCTGCAGGAAGGGCCCGATGCCGTCGGGCCCGCGGGTGGCCAAGGCCGAGGCGAAGGCGTGCTTCTGCGCGAGGCCAGGCTGCTCGTTGGCGACAGCCGCCCGCGAGGCCTCGACCGCTGGCGCCGCGAGCTGGCGGGGGTAGTACACGTGGTCGGAGGTGGCCGACACGATCTGGCGCATTGTCTCCACGAAGGCTTGCGTCTTCCACCACGGCGGTGAGAGATGGAGGGCACCCCGCGCGGCACCCCCAAGGGTCTGCTGGATGCCGTAGGAGTTCAAGCCTTCGTGAAGCCTCTCGCGGATCTCGGTGAACTTCTTGAATGTCGAGGTCGCCGCGCGGACTATCGTCGCTAGCATGCTGAGCTGGAGCGACCTCGGCGCGGGAACTCCCCAGTTCTTCAGGAAGGGCCAGTCCTTCAGCCTGAAGGCGCCGTTCGGGAAGCGCAGGACGGAGGCGTTGATCCAGCTCTCGTGCTTGAAGTGCTCGCGCGGGAGCAAGGCGTGCCGGGCCAGGTAGCCGAGGACGGGGAGCGCGCGCCCGCTGTACAGGGAGACGGCCCCGACGGCTGGCGCGTCGCTCGCGCTGCGCGCCATGGCTCGGGAGCGGTGCTTGTTGAAGGCCTTCGCGTAGATGAGCTGGTCCGTGGCGCCAGGGCCCAGCAAGAGGCCGAGGTAGGTGAGGCGGTCGCATACGTTGAAGTCCTTGAACTTCGGGACGATGGTGAGCAGCGCGTTCTTGAGCTTGAGGATGAGGTCGGCGTTGACCTGGCCTGCCAAGGGGATGATGTGGCACTTCGGCGCCTTCAACTCCAGACCAGCCAAAATTTCCATGCAGAGCATGGCGTCGGCGAGGTAGACGAGGTAGGCAACGGCCCGAAGGACGAGCCCAAGGTCATCGGCGCATGCCCGACAAAGTCCACGGCCTTGGACTTCGAGGACGGTCTCGAGGTTGAGGAGGAAGCATGCAGTGCCCAGCGCGCACAGCGTGCCGCTCCAGCCGCATCCCTGGATGATGCCCGACCTGATGTAGAACAGCGGGACGCACTGGCCAGCGCACGGGGCCATCGCGAGGATGTTGTTGCACATGGAGTCGAAGAACATGAGGACCGCTTCAGGAGCGCCCATGGCCTTGAGCGCCAGACGGATGAACTGGTGGGCGAAGCTGGGGAAGGCCTGCGCGATGTCCAGCGACACCAGCACGGGCAGCATGTCCTGGGCGTCTGGGTCGGCCGAGGCGACGCGGCTCTCGGCGTCGAGCTCGAGGATGTTGTAGCCGAAGTTACGCCGGTGAATGAACCCGCGCTCTGGTTCCTCACCGTTGGGCAGGAAGGCTTGGACGGTCGCGTTCACTTCGTCGGGGAGGATCCCGCCGTTGAGCATGTAGCACATGACATCCCAGAGAACCTCGGTGCACTTCTCGTGCGCGGACCAGGCGAGGCACGGCAGTCCGTCAAGGCCTGGCGAAGTGGAAGACGAGCGCCTGGCGAACTTCTTGAGCGCCTCGTAGTCTGGCGGCTTGTACTTGGAGAAATCGATGGTGGGCGAGAACTGGTTCAGGTAGGCGGCGGCCTTGGTCAAGTCGACGGTCTTGCCCTCGAAGACGGGCTGCCAGTGCTCGACAAGCTTCTTGAGTCGCTCGTTGGGGCCCGTCACGGTGCCCTCGCTGGTCTTGACCCCCGTCAGGACCAGGCGCTTGCTGAGCGGGTTCCAGAGCTTGAGCTTCCGTTGCAGGGCTTGGGTTTGTCCACGTGCTTGAGCGGGTCGGAGGCGCCCACGTTGAACTGCTTGGTCGATGGCTGCTTGACGCTGTTCAGCATCTTGGCGGAAGAGGTTGCCTGCCCACTCCTCGAACTTTGCATGGTCGATGAGCTCAACGCTGTCACCGTTGATCTGGACGTGTTCTTGCGCGACTTGGCGCGAGCGAAGGAGGCGAGCAGCGAGTTGTCGGTCTTGGCGCCGAACCGCACGAGAGATCGACTTCGCTACCTGGAAGAGCACGTCGCCTCTGCTCGGTTGCATTCCATGAAGACGGTCACGAGCTTCACGTGCGATTTGTCGAAGAAGGTCGGTGGTCTGAGTCAGCTCGGTCGGCGGGGACAGGTTGTCCATGGAGGGGGCGGCGAACACGTTGTCGGCAATCTCTTCGAAGACGGGGGACATGACAATGCACTGGGCGATCGGCTGGTTCGGCGAGGGTTTGGCGTCGCGCATCGTGAGGGAGACGAAGAGGGCGGCGTGGACACTGACACGACGGCGTGAAAGATCTTCAGGCGTGGAAAAGGTGGAGGACGTAACAGCCAGCTGCAGCATCGGTGTGGGGGTGAACGAGCAGAAACATCTGTCGATGGTGGTCTCGGCCTTCGTCTCGGAGCAGTAGTGCGTGGTGTCGGCGCTGTCGATCTCCACTAGGTGCTTCAGGGCGTTGTGCCACTTGCGCGCCGATGCTTTGGACGTTTCGGTTGGGTTCGAGTTGCCCTTTGCCACAGGGCCCAGGAGCTTCAGCTTTCCGACGGCGGAGAAATTGAAATCACCAGTGACGAACATGACGATGCGGCTCGGGTCGGACCTCGCCCACTGCAGGTCGCTGTTGATGCGCGTGGTGATGTTCTGGATGGCGGCGTTGCTGAGGTCGTAGTTGTGGATATTGTAGAAGATCATCACTTGGTCGCCAGCACGGAAGACAGAGCGTAGAACACGGCCAGGAAAGATGGGGTCGCTCACGGCGTTCATCCCGGCTGGGAACACAGTGGCTACCCCGCCACTGATAGTGCCATGATGTACAGGAGCGAAGGAGGAGTGCATGTCAAGGGTGCTGTCGATCTTCCGCATGAAGGCGAGGAACTGGCCGTGGTTCTGGTGAACCTCCTGGATGCCCAAGACCATTTTGTGCAGCGGCATGGACTTGAGGTACGAGGACTTCTCCACGACGCGTCTGCCCTGGTAGCCCAAGAGAGCGCGGGCGTTCCACGTGCCGACGGCCAGGCAGGGCGTCGGCCCGCTGGCGAGACGCTTCTGGATGCGTGCCAGCTCGTCAAAGCCAGAATTGCGGGGCGGCTTCAGGTGCGACAACCACGCTGGCCGCGTTCTTGAGGGCCGTGCGGTCGATGCCCAGCGCGGGCAGGCCGGTGTCCTGGAACGTGAGGACGGTCGGCTCGCCCCTGCCTGGGCGGACGCTGTGCGCGATGACGGGGGCCCAGCCTGCTGTGATCCAGGCCTTGGCGCGGTCCACGCGCCAGACGTGGGTCGGGAACTCGCGTTCCATGGCCTGGCGGAGGCGCTTCCCCACGATCTCCGTCTTGATCTGCTTCGGCGACTTGTCGGGGCCCATCCGCAACTCGACCGCCCCGTGGCCCGAGACAGCGTCGGCGTAGATGCGCACCCAGGTGCCGTTGGACGAGGGCATGCTGTCCAGGACCTTCTGCACTCGGCGGCTGGCGGGGCCAGGGAGGCCCGTGAAGTTGATGGTGAAGAACTTGGCAGTGTCGTTGCCCGTGACAGTGAAGTCAGTCTCGCGGATGTCGCAGCCCACCACGAACCTGGTGAGGGACTCGGTGGCCTTGGCCAGGGTGACGAGGCCGTCGGCGTGGATTTTGATGATAATGGCGTCGATCTCGCGGTCGAAGTCACGCCCGATGAACTGCTGCTTGATCGGCTGCTGGTTGGCCGTGGCGAGCTCGCGTTGCAAGACCTTGATCTGCTCCGCCATGAGCTCGATGGCTTTGTCGGTCTTCTCCTGTTTGGCCTCCACCTCGCCGACGCGAATGTTGAACGCGTCGAGCTGCTGCTGGAAGTGCTTCCTCGTGGAGTCGATCTGCTGACCGACGGCGAGGTGGACGTTCTTCTCGATCTTGGCGCCCAACCCGTCGATGCCGTCCTGGGCAGCCTTGAGCGCCAGCGAGATGGGGTTGGTCGCGGTGCCGACCACGGTGGTGACAGTCGCGTTGATGGACTCCTTGATCGAGGTCTCCATAGCGCCGATCTTCGACTGGAGGGACTGCACGTAGGCCATGGTGGCGTAGGCATCCAGATCTGCTTCATCTCCCTGTGGTGGCGAACGGGAGCGATCAGCCCTGCCGCCAGAAGCACCACCAGGCTCGCCAGGAGGAGGACGCTTCGAGATCCCTTTGCCGCGCAGTGGCGTCTCTGCTGGTGAGCCTCCTTTCTCCGACATGGCAGGGAAGAGACCTGGGAGCGTACGATCAACGAGGCAAGTGCACCCCGAGTGTGCTCAGCTGGCCGCGGACTAGCGGTATCCATTTGTCGGCAGGGCCAACTCAAAACCTTGAGCCAAAATGGCTACGGACGAGGAGGAGGAGGAGGAGGAGGAGGAGGAAGGACGAGCAGGGAGGGGGGGGGTCCTGGAGGATGCCGCGCTGTGGGGGGGCCTTTTCAGAGGAGCCTCCTGGAGGCCCCCAGATGGGCCGCGCAGCGCTCCGAAGCCTGCGCCCCGTCGGTCCCCGAGCCTGCCCCGCCCGGAGCCCGGCGCGAACAAGGGGGGCGGCCAGGATCCCTGGCTCAAGCCGTGATGGCTTAATCAATGGCCCAATCGTGCTGTTCAGGAGCCGACTTCGCGGTCCTAGAAGCTTTGGGCCGGTGCTCAAGCTGGGCACGCGGAGCTGCGGATAAGCATGCGCACAGTCCGGCGCACACCGTTGGGGTGCGACGAGAGAGAAAGGCGAAGGCGACGGAAAAGATTGCGAAGGCGACGAGAAAAAAAAACAGCAGCATCTCATTTGTTCACGTCTACATCACGTTCGCGTCGCAGTGTCGCAGAGGGGGGCGGGGGGGGGTCTGGCCGCGCGGCGGGCGGGCGCAGGGGGCCCCGCGCGGTGGCGGCCCCCGAGTGCGAGGCGCGGCCAGGCTGAGATCGGGCGTGTCCCCCTACAGGCAGAATGGGGACGAAAAATACAGAATAGTCAAAATAGATTCCCAAATACCCAACAACAATGACAAAACGATCGTCCCCAGACTATTGTTTGACTTCTCTCGAACTCTCCTCCTGTAGAGGGGCGTGCCCGACTTGTAAGGCCAGGCGGGCCAGGCCGAGGGTCGCGAAGACTGGCCATTTTCTCGGAGGCACCCACACTATTAGGTCGGGCGTGTCCTCCTACAGGCGGATATTGGACGACAAATCACAGATTTTCAACAAATACTCCAGTATCAGCCAGCGTTGGCTCCAAATAGATCCGACGACTCAAATCAAGGAATCAGAGGAATCAAGCATGCTTGGAATCCGCAATTCAGCACGCAAGCAAGCGTGCAAGCAAGCGCGCAAGCAAGCGCACAGGCAAGCGCGCAAGCACGCGCAAGCAAGCGCGCAAGCAAGCAAGCAAGCGCGCAAGCAAGCAAGCAAGTAAGCAAAAGTGCAAGCACGCAAGCAAACAGGCAGGCAAGCAAGAAAGTAAGCAGGCAAGCAAGCAGGCAGAAGCATAGGCGTAGGCATAGGAATTAGTGGGGAGGCATCGGCATATGCATAGGCATAGGAATTACGGGGGGGCATAGGAACTAGGGGGGAACCTACCAATTAGTAGGGTTTGAGCTAGGACTCCTATACGGCAAGCCGATTTGGAGACCGTAGCAAACAAACATAGTAGAAACATCGCCCCCTGACTATTGTTGTACTATTCCCCCCTGTATGGCGGGCAGAAAATCCATCCCCATAAGAATCTCCCCGCCAAGCGAAGCCGTTTCGTAAACGCACCCATGGAAGGAATCCAACAGGGCAGGGCTTTTACTGAACGCCCAGGGCCGTTTCGAAAACGCCAATGGTCCGGTCCGGGTGGCTTTGTCCTCCCTTGACTGCAGAGGGACACGCCCGACTCGACCATGCTGCGACTCTGCCGTCGGTGTTGCCGACTCTGGGCCTCCTCCCGGGAGAGGGGCCCCTCGCCGCCACGGGACGGGGCCACGGGCTCGGAGTTCGCGTCACGGAGCGCACGCCTTCAAAGAGAGAGGCCTCCAAGGAGAGTCGCGGTCTCGGCACCTTTCTAGACGAGCGCGCTCCGCTACTCGCAGAGTGACCGCTCGCAGATGGCCTGGATCCGCCAGGGGGATCTAAAAGGAATTACATCGAAGCAGACATGTGCTTTGGAACGCGCTCGGTGACTTTTGGTTCCCCATCTTCGCGCCCTCGCAGGTGCGGAGATGCACGGCAGCGACGGGCAGCGACGGGCGCGCGACGGGCAGCGACGGGCAGTGACGGGCAGCGACTGGCAGCGACAGGCAACGCGCCAGGCGGCGACGGGCGGCAGCGACAAGCGCGCGACAGGCAGCGGATGCACGCCCTCTTCGTTCCCCACGGCAGCGACGGGCAGCGACAGGCAGCGTGGCGCGGAGACCACCGTGGCAGCGACAGGCAGTGTGGCGGCTGCAACGGCGCCGGCGGCCGAGCCCGTTCTGGCGTTGTGGCTGCTCGCTGCCGTCGTCGCCGCCAGTCGACTCCTGCCCGTCGCGGTCGCACAGATCGTTAATCATTGCCATCCTCGTCCCGCCCCACCCCACCGCGGTTTGCCATGCCCCCAGGCCATGCCAGCGCGAAGGTGTCGTAGGTCTGCCGTCAGCGGCAAGGGCTAGGATGAGTGGTGGTCACAGGAGAGGGGCGACACTGGGAGCGGGCGGCTGATATGGCAAGGCACGCTGGGATAATGTCTCGTTTTCTGCCTCTTTGCCGTTTCAGGAGGAGGAATGCGGCAAGAATGTAACGGTGACGCGGGAGAGGGCAAACACGCAATATTATCACGGAGTGCAAGCTGCAGGAGGATAGACACACACATATATATATATAGAGAGAGAGAGAGAGAAAGAAGTAGAGAGATATTGAGAGAAAAAGCGAGAGGGAGAGACACACACAAACAGAGAGAGAGAGAGAGAGAAATGGGGATATTATCTGAGCTATCGTGCGATATATATATATATATATATATATATATATATATATATATATATATACTAGAACCATCGCGCGCGCTTCGCGCGCGCTCAGGCTCTAGCCCAGGCCTGGGGGGCGCTGGACGATCTTGGACAACGATATCAAGCACAGGCGCGCGACGGCATCTGAGGAGCTTCTGGGGTGTTCCGCATGCTTCGTCAACTGGCTGTTGGAGGCACCTCTTGGGTGCTTCTTGGGGGGGCGTCTGAGGGTCCCTTGGGGGCATCGGTTCTGCAATCTGAAGCCGTCATTGGCCGTCTTGGCTGCGTGGAAGCCCGACTTGAGGCCACCTGCGGCCAGATTGAGGCAATCCGGAAGCCTCCCGGGGGCCTCCTGGAAGCAGTTTTGACGCATCGAGGGCACTCTTGGGCTATCTTAAAGCCTCTTGGACGTCTCCTAGGGGCCTTTTAGGCCCTCGGGGAAGCTATTGGGGTCCTCGTCGGACCACTTGGGGGCCTCTTGCGGCCTCCTGTGGGCCTTTTGGGGGGACCGCTCTGCTGTTGGGTCGCGTTCCCCTTCTTGGGCCTCTCTTGGGGCTCTTAGGGCCCTCTCGGGCCGTCTTGGGCGCCTCAAGCACCGTCTTGGGGCCCTCGCGGCCGTCTAGGGGCCCTCTTGGATTCCTCTTCCTCTATATGGGAGCGGTATTGGAAGCCTCTTGGGCCGTCTTGGAGCATCGGGATGCCAAAAGGCCGAAAACATTTAAACCCGTCAAAGCCCAATCGTAAAACAATGAGTTGTGCCTCTTGGGGCCACCTTGGGAGATCTCTTGGAACCTCGTCGGCCCTCTTGGGAGCTTCTTGGAGGCCTCTTGGATCCGATTGGGGGCCTCTGGGGACTTCCCGAGAACCTCTCGGGGTAGAGAGCTCGGATTCTCGGTTCGTGTTTCCCTTCTTGGGCCTCTCTTGGGGCCGTCTTGGGGCCCTCTCGGGCCGTCTTGGGCGCCTCAGGCACCGCCTTGGGGCCCTCGTGGGCCGCGCAGGGCCTTCTTGGAAGCCTCTTCGGCTATCTTGGAGCTGTCTGGGAGGCCTCTTCCTCCTCCTCGTCCCCCTCCTCCTCCTCCTCCTCCTCCCACTCCAACTCTCTCTCCTCCTGATCTTCCTCCTCCTCCTGCAGCGTGTTCCGGAAGGCTCCCGCCGGAACATGCTGTGCACAAGTGCTGTCACTGCTCCCGCCACCGTGCCCTGGGTGGTGAGTCAGAGGCCTCATGGGTGTTGGTGTGGATCTCGTGGTTGGCCTGTCGGGGACGTCGTGAAGGCAGTTTCGCAGCTTCTCGGTAGCCGTTTTGGGACCGTTGTGGGGCCTCCTCGGGGCTGTTTGTGGCCTCTTTAGGCCTCGTTCGGGCCTCCTGGGTGCCTCTTGGGGGCCTCCTGGGGCCTCTTGGGGGCTCCTTGGGGCCTCCTGGGGCACTCTTCAAGCGGGAGGGTCGAATTTTGGAGTCGTGGTCCCCCTTTTGGGCGCATCTTGGGGCCGTCTTGGGGCTCTGTTGGGCTGTCTTGGGCGACTCTGGGGCCGTCTTGGGGCCCTCTTGGGCCGTCTTGGGGCGCCCTTGGGGGCCTATTGAGCCGTCTTGGAACGTCGGACAGCCGAAAAGGCTGGCAGGCCAAAATCGTTCGAAAACCTTAGTACAATTGACGATTTCGGCCTCTGGAAGCGCTCTGGAGAGGCGTCTTGAAGCGTCGCGGAGTGCCTTGAGGGGCCTCTCGGGCCGTCTTGGGCCTATCTTGGGCGTGCTGGAGCGGTCTTTCGGCGACTCGGGGCCCGCTTGGGCCATCTTGGGAGCCTCTGGAGGCCCTCCTGGACTATTTTGGACCTCCCCGGCCGCCCCGTCCTCCCATGGGGGGTCGGAGGCGGCGGCCTCAGAGGCCCAGGACGCGGAAACCCTGTAAAACCACACGGAAAATGAGCCCCGGTACCCCCATGGCGGCTCTTCGGTGCTCTTGGACCGTTGGAAGCTCGAAAACGCGAGAAGCCAAAAACATTGAAAAGACCATTGAATATATACGACTTTGGCCTCGTCGGGCCGTACCGTGATACCTATCAGACCTCTTGGGGTCTCTTGGAGGCCACCTGGAAGCCTCGAGAGCCGTCGGAAGGCTGACTGTCTTGGGCCATCCTTTCGCATTCTGGGGGCTCCTGGGGGGCGTCTTGGGCCCTCCTGGAGCGCTGTGGAGGCTGCCGGAAAGGCTGGGGCAGCGGTGCCGGGAGCGTCCCCGAGATGTGGCCATATCTTTTCAGCGCGTTCCGGGAGCATCTTCCCGGAACGCGCTCGTGGCAGGGCGCCCACGTCCGAGGACGTTGGCATGGGAAACCGCAGCGCGTGATCATTCCAGCGCGTTCCGGCGAAGACCGTCCGGAACGCGCTTGGGCAAGCGCTGGGTTTGGGGAAGGCGAGTGGAGACCGTTCAGGCAGTTTGGGATGCTCGGGGCAAGAGGCGGAAGCCATCCTCATAAGACATGCAGTCTTCCTGGAGCCGTCTTGCAGAAAACACAGAAAAACTGAGACCCTGCAGTCGTTCCTGGAGCCGTCTTGGAGCCCTCATGGGCTGCCCTGGAGCCTGTTGGAGCCCTCTGCGGAATGGTCTTGGAGCACGCGCCGAGGATCTGGAAAATGTCCGGGAACATCGCGGCGGCCTTCGAGGCCCGGGACGCCGAAACCGCGTAAAAGCACAGCGAAAATGAGCCCCGGTACTGGAGGGTCGGGCAGCTGTTTTCGGGCCCCTGGGCTAGAACCATCGCGCGCGCTTCGCGCGCGCTCAGGTTCTAGCCCAGGCCAGGGGGGCGCTGGACGATCTTGGACAACGATATCAAGCACAGGCGCGTGACGGCATCTGAGGAGCTTCTGGGGTGTTCCGCATGCTTCGTCAACCGGCTGATGGAGGCACCTCTTGGGTGCTTCTTGGGGGGGCGTCTAAGGGTCCCTTGGGGGCATCGGTTCTGCAATCTGAAGCGTTCATTGGCCGTCTTGGCTGCGTGGAAGCCCGACTTGAGGCCACCTGCGGCCAGATTGAGGCAATCCGGAAGCCTCCCGGGGGCCTCCTGGAAGCAGTTTTGACGCATCGAGGGCACTCTTGGGCTATTTTAAAGCCTCTTGGACGTCTCCTAGGGGCCTTTAGGCTCTCGGGAAGCTTTTGGGGTCCTCGTCGGACCACTTGGGGGCCTCTTGCGGCCTCCTGTGGGCCTTTTGGGGGGACCGCTCTGCTGTTGGGTCGCGTTCCCCTTCTTGGGCCTCTCTTGGGGCTCTTAGGGCCCTCTCGGGCCGTCTTGGGCGCCTCAAGCACCGTCTTGGGGCCCTCGCGGGCCGTCTTGGGGATTTCTTGGAGGCCTCTTCCTCTATATGGGAGCGGTATTGGAAGCCTCTTGGGCCGTCTTGGAGCATCGGGATGCCAAAAGGCCGACAAAAAATTAAACCCGTCAAAGCCCAATCGTAAAACTATGAGTTGTGCCTCTTGGGGCCACCTTGGGAGATCTCTTGGAACCTCGTCGGCCCTCTTGGGAGCTTCTTGGGGGCCTCTTGGATCCGATTGGGGGCCTCTGGGGACTTCCCGAGAACCTCTCGGGGTAGAAAGCTCGGATTCTCGGTTCGTGTTTCCCTTCTTGGGCCTCTCTTGGGGCCGTCTTGGGGCCCTCTCGGGACGTCTTGGGCGCCTCAGGCACCGCCTTGGGGCCCTCGTGGGCCGCCCAGGGCCCTCTTGGAAGCCTCTTCGGCTATCTTGGAGCTGTCTGGGAGGCCTCTTCCTCCTCCTCGTCCCCATCCTCCTCCTCCCACTCCAACTCTCTCTCCTCCTGATCTTCCTCCTCCTCCTGCAGCGTGTTCCGGAAGGCTCCCGCCGGAACATGCTGTGCACAAGTGCTGTCACTGCTCCCGCCACCGTGCCCTGGGTGGTGGGTCAGAGGCCTCATGGGTGTTGGTTTGGATCTCGTGGTTGGCCTGTCGGGGACGTCGTGAAGGCAATTTCGCAGCTTCTCGGTAGCCGTTTTGGGACCGTTGTGGGGCCTCCTCGGGGCTGTCTTGTGGCCTCTTTAGGCCTCGTTCGGGCCTCCTGGGTGCCTCTTGGGGGCCTCCTGGGGCCTCTTGGGGGCTCCTTGGGGCCTCCTGGGGCACTCTTCAAGCGGGAGGGCCGAATTTTGGAGTCGTGGTCCCCCTCTCGTCTTGGAGCCCTCTTGGGCCGTCTTGGGGCGCTCTTGGGAGCCTATTGAGCCGTCTTGGAACGTCGGACAGCCGAAAAGGCTGGAAGGCCAAAATGGTTCGAAAACCTTCGTACAATTGACGATTTCGGCATCTGGAAGCGCTCTGGAGAGGCGTCTTGACGCGTCGTGGAGTGCCTTGGGGGGCCTCTCGGGCCGTCTTGGGCCTATCTTGGGCGTCCTGGAGCGGTCTTTCGGCGACTCGGGGCCCGCTTGGGCCGTCTTGGGGGCCTCTGGAGGCCCTCCTGGACTATTTTGGACCTCCCTGGCCGCCCCGTCCTCCCATGGGAGGTCGGAGGCGGCGGCCTCCGAGGCCCAGGACGCGGAAACCCTGTAAAACCACACCGAAAATGAGCCCCGGTCCCCCCATGGGGGGTCGGGGCACCTGTCCTGGGGCCCCGGCCTCGCCCCCAGGGATATATATATATATATATATATAGATAGATAGATAGATAGATAGATAGATAAATTCGTCTTCCTCCCATCGTCGTCACTCCCCTTCATCCATTATGCTGCTCGTCTTCTTCTATTTCTCCTAATGTTTATCATTGCTTCTTCTACTCCTCCCTCCTTTGCGGTGGGCGTTTTTGTTTGTCCTCGCTTGTCTCTCCTAGCGCCCACTCACGCACGCACGCACGCACGCACGCACGCATACACACACGGAGATAGAAGAGGGCGGCCGTGGAGGGGGATATCGAACGAACACGAGAGACTATAGCAGAAGAGCTCGCCTGGCAGGCGGCGCCGACGGTCACCGTCTCGCCGATGAGCACAGGCCTGCAGGACGGGTGCGCGCAGACGCTTCATCCTCGGACGTGCCGCGCGGTGTTTGCGTCGCTAGCCGGCCCCGGCCTTGGCGACAACCCACCCCAGGGTCCTGGAGGCAAACGCCAACAGAGTGCATCGAGAACATCTGCTCCGCGCGCCGCGGCGGCGGGCCCTGCGACAGGCCGTGCCCTGCAGGCGGGCGGCGTGCTCCTCCGCTCCGCAGGACAGCTCGGAACGCTGGCGCCTGGGGACCGGGACGCGCTCAGTTTGGAGGCCCGGCAATGGGCACCAGCGCCAACACACGGGCCTGCCTCAACCGGGGGAAAGCGATCCTGGAATGTCGGCGTCGGTGGTAGTAACTACTTCGGCCGCCCAGGGAGCCAGAACATCACCACCGCCAGCGAGGTGGAGGTGGAGGCACATCGCCGATATTGGTGCTGGTGTCAACCTCTATGCGAGGCGGGGGTTTATCCATATCCACCGCCTGGGAACCGACGTCCTGGTGCCCCAGCGGGCGGTGGATATGGATATATTTCGGCTCCCGGGGGCCCGAATATGTCCATATCCACCGCCTGCCGAGGCTCCGAGAACTGACCCTCCAGGCGGTGGTCGTGTATAAATTCCCGCCTGGGGCTCTAGGCCTCCGGTTGGCGTGTCGCGCCGAAGCGTGGTGGGCCAGAGCTGGCTGCGCGACACGCTAAAAGCAACGCGCTCCTGACCGCACGAGCGGCTGGGACACAGGGTGCCTGCGGCGGCTCCCAGTTGATGGCCTTCTATGCTGCGGGGGATGGCTGGGCTATGATTAAGTCCGGCGTGTTCCTCAGCAGGATGAATATCCCCAATTAGTCAGACAACAACGAATATAGGGACGATTGTTCTGGTACTTTCTGACCTTTTTATTTGGAATGTGTTTGAGTATTTTAATTTGTTGTCCAAAATCCGCCTGTAGAAGGACATGCCCGACCTAAGGCTATGGCTGTGGTCTGATGCTGTCTTCCTTTTCCTGCACATGTTAGGGTCCAAGGCGAGACAGCCCACAAAGGGAGGATCACAGGCAGGGGAAAGCCGAAGGGAAGGATTTGAGTCACAGGCTGCCCGTAACCGTCGTCTCATGGTGATCAAGCGACCTGACGGTAAGGTCAGAAACACGCAGGAGATATTCGAGGACGCTCAGACCGCCAAACCTCGCCCTCGAACTCCATGTATCATCCTCCTTTCCACTCCTCCTCAATCATTCGCATCTGCAAAGGTGTAAGCCCGATCTAAAAAGAGAACAGCGAGATAGGAAGGATAGAGATGCTGACGACGAGGACGCCCCAGGACCCCTGGAGCTTCAAGAGACTCCTCCATCCTCCTCCTCCTCCTCCTCCTCCTCCTCCTCCTCCTCCTCCTTCTTTCCTCCTCCTCCCCCTCATTCTCCTTCTCCCTCCTCCTCCTCCTCCTCGTCCTCCTCCTCCTCCTCCTCCTCCTCCTCCTCCCTCCTCCCTCCTCCCTCCTCCTCCCCCTCCGGGTCGGGCCGGGGTTCGGCGGGCCACCGCGCCGCCTGCCTGGGCCCCTCCAGGGCTACCAGCAGCAGCTCCGGCAGCTCGGCGGCGTCCTCTCCGCTGGGCGCGCCCCCGCCCCTGCCCCCCCCGGCGTCCGCCGCCCCAGGGAGGAGGAGGAGGAGGAGGAGGAGGAGGAGGAGGAGGAGGAGGAGGAGCAGAAGGAGGAGGAGGAGGATCAGGAGGAGGAGGAGGGGAAAAACAATTTGAAGCGCCTCCCCAAAATACGTCGTCTTCGGGACCGTGTTCAAGGGAAGCCGCAGAAGGTCAAAATCTTTACTTGCGAGGTAATGCCGTCGATCTGCTACGGGGAAGAGGTCCAAGGCCATTCCCCAGACGAGATCTGCAAGCTCCGTATTTTAACATCCAAGTTTCTAGGCACGTGGTCTGCAGGTGCCACAGTCGACCTGTGCTGGCTGTTCAAGCCGACGGCAGACCCCCTCCACCACGCCAGCGCCACCCTCAGGAGGTACTGCCGCGAGTGGTGGATGACCACAGACGCGCAGATAAAGACGAGAGGCACGCTGAGCCCGAAAGACCTGCGCCTCAGCTTCGAGTACTCAGGTGCATTTTATGAGCAGCAGGCCAGTAAAGCGAGCTGGCAGCATCGAGTTCGCAGCCCGATCACAGACACCTTGTTTTGGATCGAGCAAGCAGGGTGGAAGTTCAAGGGCCCCGCCACATTGCTGACCGCCAGCAACATAGAGTTAAACCTCACCGAGAACTCACCAGCTATGATCCAGAAACTGTTCGTGGCGGACCTCAAAACGCAGCTGCTGGACAAGGCAGTTAAACGTAAGCTCGAGTTTCCCGAGGACCCCGACGAGGACCTCCACCCCAGGGCCCAAGCTATCTGCGAGAGAGGCCTATGGGGATATCCTTTCAGCAAGGTTTGGAACAGTGTTAAATGGAGCTTTGAAGCCAAGAAGATTCTGAAACATCTAATTTGCGGGACCCTCCCTACCAGTCACGTTCTTTGGAAGAGAGGATATCAGGTGGAGCCGACCTGCCAGTATTGCGGCCTGTGCGACACTGTGTTTCACAGGCTTTGGCACTGCCCCCACGGCGAGGCAGCCCGTGCGCAGGTAGATGAGATTATTTTTGAAGCCGCGAGGAACTCCGTAGGTAAGGACCCCCTGTACACCAGCCTCTGGATACCAGTTCCAGAGATCGCTCAGCCTCCGCCCGAGGAGGATATCGTAGAGTACATCGACAAGTCGGGGGAGATTGATCCGTTCAATTTCACGGGCTCTACGAAGGTGTTCATCGACAGGAGTTCTTTGGAGCCGACGCAGCCACTCCTGGCCCGTGCGGGCTGGACTGCGACCGACATCACCGCGGGAGGAGACCTGAAAAGAGCTGTTCGAGGCCCACTTCCACGCAAATACCCCCTAACGTGCGATCTGGGCCGAACATCACGGTCGCCTGAAAGCTATCGAGCATTTGTGGCAGGACCCCGCTAAGATAGGCGAGGACGAAATCGAGATCCACGCCAATTGCAGCGCGCTGATCACAGGCTGCGCCTTTTCGTTCAGAGCGCTCGACGGGACCACCCAGCAGGCTGGTCACTGGCGCCAGATCCAGAAGTTAGACAAAGAGTTCAGCATTCACGAAGTAGGCTCACCAATCTTTTATTCGTGGGGATAGAGAGTGGGCTGAACACCTCCTTGTGATCGGAAACGCCTGGGCCGACACAATGTGCCGTGAAGCTGCCCGAGTGTTTGCGGTTCCCCAGGATGCCGAGCATGTAAAGGAGACCCTGGACAGAAGGTTTGCGGTTGTCAAGGCTGCAGTTTCAATTTTAGAGCCCTGGCCCCCTGCCAGAGAAATGCACGGAACCTTGTTCAAAGTCCCAGCCCAGAGGCCACCCCCCCAAAACACCCAGCGGCACTGTGTTTTGTGGAATCGTAGAATGTGGCAGTGTGTTCGTTGCGCTCGCTCTTTCAGGAATCCGCCCTGTGGCGGGAAGTGCTGTGCGTTTGCCCCATCCTTTGGGGAACTCATTCGAGGTGCGGCCACCAGCGGGAGATCTCACCGCTTGTGGGCTGCACAGATCGAACAATCGGGCGTTCCGATGTTATTTTGTACACGCTGCGGGTCTTATTGCACGAAGACGCCCAGGCATCTCCTGAACCCGTGCAAGAATATCAACACCGCGCAGCTGCGAGATTTCAGGCGAGGACTCCTGCCCTTGCCCAAGGGCACACGTCTCAGCAGGCCCTGGAGGCCTGGAGGATCCTCCACAGCGCCACCTCTTGGTGGAGGGACGGGGTCGAGCGGGTCGGGGGTGTCATTGCAGCCGCTCCCATCCGAGGAGTAGGCCAAGCACGAGAGGGTGGGCGAGCCATGATTTGGCTGCCCTCCAGATGCCCATGAATGAATGAATGAATGAGGAAGAAGAGCAGGATGAGGAGGAGGAGGAGGAGGAGGAGGAGGAGGAGGAGGAGGAGGAGGAAGAGGAGGAGGAGGAGGAGGAGAGGAGGAGGAGGAGAGGAGGAGGAGGAGGGAGAGGAGAGGAGGAGGAGGGAGGAAGAGGAGGAGGACAGGGAGGAGGAGGAGGAGAAGGAGGAGAAGGAGGAGGAAAAGGAGGAGGGAGGAGGGGGAGGAGAGAAGGAGGAGGAGGAGGAGGAGGAGGAGGAGGAGGAGGAGGAGGAGGAGGAGGAGGAGGAGGAGGAGGAGGAGGAGGAGGAGGAGGAGGAGGAGGAGGAGGAGGAGGAGGAGGAGGAGGAGGAGGAGGAGGAGGAGGAGGAGGAGGGAGGAGGAGGAGGAGGAGGAGGAGGAGGAGGGAGAGGAGGAGGAGGAGGAGGAGTAGGAGGAGGAGGAGGAGGAGAGGAGGAGGAGGAGGAGGAGGAGGAGGAGGAGAGAGGAGGAGGGAGGAGGAGGAGGAGGAGGAGGAGGAGGAGGAGGAGGAGAGGAGGAGGAGGGAGGAGGAGGAGGAGGAGGAGGAGGAGGAGGAGGAGGGAGGAGGAGGAGGAGGAGGAGGGAGGAGAGGAGGAGGAGGAGGAGGAGAGAGGAGGATGAGGATGAGGATGAGGATGAGGGGGAGGAGGAGGAGGAGGAGGAGGAGGAGGAGGAGGAGGAGGAGGAGGAGGAGGAGGAGGAGGAGGAGGAGGGAGGAGGGAGGAGGGAGGAGGAGGGAGGAGGGAGGAGGAGGAGGAGGAGGAGGAGGAGTGTGGTAATGTGGCTTTGAGGCGCCGCACCCCGACCCTGCCCCCCCTGGCGTCCGCCGCCCCTGCCTCCCCAGACCCCCTCGGGTCGTGACAAAATCACGACGGAAGGTTTTCCTGTATTTTCGGCCTCTGGTGGCCCTGACTGGACCTCGGGACCGTCAAAGAACGACTCGGGATGAAAAACCGGTCCCGGGGAATGGGTGCAGACCTGCCCCCTGCCTCCTGCCCCCAGGGGAGGAGACAGACAGACAGGAGCGCGCCGAAGCCGGCCGGTCGGCCGGGCAGCGCGGGTGGGCCGGGGCCCAGTTACTGCACTTGCTGGACGAAGGCGCGTGTCCCAACGGAGTCGGAGCCGGAGTCGGAGAGTTGGGAAAGGGCCACGAGTCGGAACGAAGACAAGAGCCGTAGTCGGATCCTGCAAAGGACCCTCAACCATTCCTGCCAACAGAAGCAATCAGGATTGTGAGCCGGAGACGCAGAGACGGAGTCGGAAAGAGGGGAGGAGGGGCCCCAGGGATCACGACAACATTGCCATTCTCCTCGACCTCGTCGCCCCCCCTCGGCGATGGGCCCTCGGCCCCTGCCCCTGCCTCCCCCCTATGGATGTTTGGCCTCGGCCGTTGGTCCGCCTCCGCCTCGATGTGGGGTCGGAGGCCCCTCTCGTCGCCACGGCTGGGCGCGGTTCCGATCAGAACACCCCGAACACCGGAGCGCCCAAGGCAAGGCTTGCATCAAAAAAACTGCCAGACCCCTCATCCCTCCTCCTCCTCTTCCTCCTCTTCCTCCTCCTCCTCCTCTTATGGAGGGCCTCCGGAGATCTCCGGGAACCTCCCAAGAATTCCAGAAACCTACAAACGTACAGAAGCCATCGACAACCACAAACACACAATCAAAACAAACCTTCGACGTAATTAACGTTCATTTGAAGACCGTCCGCTCTTACTTGCTCCCATGTGCCCACCCTCCGAATGTACAAACATCCCCTTTTAGCCAGTGTCTTCTACAGGTGGAGCCATGAAGAAGAAGAAGAAGCGTGAGAACACTGAGCTTGGACCCTAAAGCGAAAATATTGGTGAGAGAGGTGGAACGGAGGCGGGAGGAATGGAGGAGGGGTGGGGGACCCGCCGGAGCAAGGCCCAGGAGTTCAAAAGCGTCAGTGTAACAGATGTGAGCACCCAGGCAATACGCGCCTAGGCGACAGCGCGCTTCCTCCGTAAAGTTCGAAACAATCTCAAACAAGAACACAACTCCTTGATGAATTGCGAAGACGTGTCGAGCGGGAACCGTTGCTGTTCCATCATCTTTGGATGAACTGCGAGGAACTCTCGCAGGGCGAAAGCGCAACATTCCTCACTGTCAGGGGCGTGTCTGGCCCGGGCGTCTTGAACATAATGTGTCTTGCAGTATTGAGCTGGAGCAATCGCTCGTGCGTTAAGCCCCTAACCAACCAGGATAAACTGCGAGGAACTATTCCTGGGCCAGAGCTTTGCTCCTGAGTGTGAAACCTGTTTTTGGGTCAGGGCATGACGGAGTCGCCAGCGTGGAAATATTGAGCGGGAGCAAACGTCGTCACACTCAGGCGATCCCCAAACAGAGCAATCAGCGAAACATAAAACGTGACCGTATTGGGCGGCAACTGTTACTTGTAGCTGGGCCCCATCCAATCCGAATAACTTGTGATGAGGTCTAGGGCGAGAGGGCCATTCCGGAGTGTGGGGATGTTTCTGGCAAGAACATCTAGGAAGAGACTGCGTGGAAATATCAAACGGTAGCCGTTGTCGTCGCAGGTCGGCTTTCAACCACCAGGATTTGGACCCAAACCCGAGCCCGAGCGGGAACCTCGTCATCACTGAACATGTTGCCCGCGTCGGGGTGAGACAGCGCGG